CTTGGTGAAGTTGAACTTTTTGGGGTCAAATGGTTGGAGAACCCGATCAACACGGAACTCAGTAGGTCGCTTCTTGAGGTGCCGACCTTCATTCAGCTGAGCAATGAAGCCTTGAGCACCAGGGATCACCTTGGTCTCACACGCAGTTACATCATAACGAAACAGTCCTCGGCTAATCCGATCCTCCCACTAAAAAATTCCAAAGATAGAAACTTTATCAAAATGCTCATGAGCAAGTTAGATTATGAAGAGAGGTGAAGTGATCATATAATTTTAGAGGGAACTATATTTTTGTTCGGTTAATAGTTCATAAAGAAAACGAAGAAGATAGAAAGTCACGGTAACACAATTCAAGACATATATTGGTGTATTGCTTTTAAGTAAGCTAAAACCTCTTCTTATGGAATTGAAAGACAATTTTGAAATATTTAGTTTCCCCTTCATGCTTTCTCCGTCTCCCCACCAATTTCCAAAAAAGTAAAGTTCTATTATGGATAAAAAAAATCTCCCCTGAAAACTCGACAGAAACAAGATTTAAAAAAGAGTCAAAAAAAAAAAATCAAAATCCAGCAATATGCGTAATCCTTAGCAACTCTATCTAGATTTTTTTTTAAAAAGGCCTGGATGATATTGCCATCTTCCTTCCAGAGATTATTTCTACAAAAATTAAATAAAGGAAGAAAAACACTGCTCTCTGAAATTAAAAGGAATTACCTGCCCAAGTAAAAGTGTGTTGAGGAAGAAGTCATCTGGGAGAGTCTCTTCAGCGGATGCAGAATTTGGTGGACCTTGGCCGCTCTTGAAAGCATAAAGAGGAAGCTTGGAGGCTGCATACAATAGCCAGAAAGAGGGACCAGTATATAACTCATAGATTAAGGCATCAAAATTCCTAAAAAATTTCCATTTTTTTTTAAGAAAAAGGTCAGATTCCGAAAAAGCCAAGTAAAGTTAGCAAGAAACAAAAACTACCAAAGAATATTCCTACCAAAGCATCCAAACTCCTCAAAAACACTTTTAAACATCCAAAATTTTCAAATAAAATAAAATAAAAAGGGGAAAACCCCCAAGATTCAGCAATAATTATGTAACTTTTTTCTTACTACCTGTGACTCCACACAATAAAAAACATAAATAACAATAGAGGGCCGAAAAGTGCCTAGTATTATTAACAAAAAACCGCAGAATTCCTATAATCTGCCTGCGAAGCAGCTGCCACAGATTGTAGAATTTGCGATACTACACATAATTAGACAGGTAACTTTTTTATCTTTTTACCTACATTTCAAATGAAGCTGAAAACCTCCCAACTTCTTTGATGTTATCCTTGCTTATTATAATTATTTTCACTCCTTTATTCCATACCTTTTTCCTTATGATTTCTCCGCCGAAGAAATTTTCTAAATAAATCCATTCATATTTTTTTCTAAAAATAAACCCCTTTGAGTTTTATTTACAAAAATAGAATCATTTTATTTAATCTGGTTCCGACTATTAAATAGTCGGGGTTGCCAACCCCGACTGTTTAGGAGGTTGTAAACCCCCAATTATATCCCTAAACTCTAACATTCTATGCACTAAATAGTCGGGGTTAGCAACTCTAACATTCTATGCACAAAATGGGTTGATTTTTTAAAAAAACTCAAGGGGTCTATTTTTAGAAAAAAAAAATATGAATGGGTTTGTTTAAGAAAATTTCTCCTTTCTCCGCCTATAAACGAATCCGAGGCCTTCAAAAATTCATCACAGTAGTGATTCATTTACAACTGTCTATATGAACAAACAGTATTGCAATACTAAATCTCATGCATGCCAGCTAGTATCATTAAAAAAAAGGCAACCAAAAAAAATTCGGTTTTTTTTTACCGGGGAGGCAACAGTTGCCTAGGCAATTGCGGCCCGCAGTCCCGCGCCAGCGGCCGATCCTCTTCGATATTGCGGAACAACTTGTTCGGAACCTGATTCGACCAGTTCAACATTCCTCTCGTGATTATTTAGTACGAGAAGCGAAAGATGGGTTTTGAGAATTTTGGGACCGAGCAAATCAAAAGTAATAGCTATCTCGTTAAATGAGTGAGAGAGAGGGAGGAGAACGGCGACGGCGCCGGCGAGGAAGAGTGAGTTCGGAGGGGATGCCTACGGCGAGGGGAGGGCGCGGCGGCCGCGATGGTGTGGGAAGCCGTGCGTGCGTTTGAGCGAGGAGAGAGGAAGTGGGGCCCGCCCCTCCTCTTCTTCCTGCTGCCGATTGTACGGCCCCCGACGAAGGAGGAATCCACTTGTGATCGCCGGCCGCCGCCGAGCGCCGCCGCCTTCGTCCGAGGCTCCTCCTCGGTTCCCGCTAAAATTATTAATTTGGTCGATCCGCGTGCTTCGTGCTTCGTGTGGTAGTTGGATTTAGATGGAAAGGGGAAGACAGACTAGGTGGGCTTTTATAGGAGAACAAATTTTGAAAATCGTGGTTCGATTTTAACAAATATATTGTAAATGGGTTGATATTTACAATTTTTTTGGTAAATGGGTCGATTTTCAAAATTTATTCTTTATAGGAGGACGATGGGCCCACTCATTTGGGGTGATTATAAAGAAATGGATGTGTGAAATGTGCTTTCACGTCAGAATTTGTAAAAAAACTTATTTCCCTAAGTGAGTGAAATGGGTAAGAAATATATTTAATGAGTAATAAAATATTGTCTCACTCATCTTTTCGAGACCTGTATCTACTAAAACGGCTGAAATGGGTCAGATTTCTTGATTTTTAGATGTTGAAACAAACCCAAGAAATGGAAAACGATACAAATGTTCTGAAATGGTTTTCATAGTTGTTTTGTGCTTTCTTTTTGTTCTTTTTTTTAGGGTCTGTTCGGTTATTTCCTAAAAATCAAGAAATGGAAATGGAAAAGGTGAAAATCTCAAAAAGTACTATTTCTTCCATTTCCATCCCTAAAACTCCCCCACAACATCTAATAAAATATTATTTTCATCCAACAACTCATCCACATCATCTAATAAAATATTATTTTCATCTAACCACTCATCCATCACATCTAATAAAATATTATTTTCATCTAAACATCACTCAACTCATCTCTTCTCATCATTTCAAATCACTCATATCATCCAATAAAATATTATAACAATTCACCTCATCTCATTAACATTTTATTTCTTTGGTTTCATCCCAAAAAGTTGTGAAAACACTTTTCTTAAGTGTGGGTCACACCACCCAATAATACAATGACAACTCATCTCATCTCATTTCATTTCTTATTTTTAAGAATGAACCAAACAAAAAAAAAACAACAAACTACAGGAAATAGGTTTCTTATAATTCATTTCCTTATTTTTTTCGCCAACCAAACAACATCAAAACTAGTTTTCTTAAAAAATCACTCACATCATCCAATAATAATGTGACAACTCATCTCATCTCATCTCCATTTCTTTGATTTCCTTCTTTTTTAGCCAACCAAACAATTCAAAAACCTATTTTTCTTAGAAATAAGTTTCATTTTTTTTGATTTCCCTCTTTTTTTAGGCAAACGAACAGACCCTTGATGGAAACGTACCAAACAGGCCCTTAATGATCCACAGAAGAGAGAGGACAGAGAAAGGGAGAAGAGAATCCAACTACAGTTCAACCTCATCCATGCATGCATGAGTACATGCTTCGAAAAGTCCCAATCTTGGTCCTTTTTTTTAATTTGAAAGAATCATCAACGACATGTGAGCGTACATGTGAGCGTTAGGTGCTAATGAAGGGAGGAGCACGCAACACGTATACGAGCGTGGTTAAGGGTTTTTTATTTCTAGGCCCATTTGTTTACTTATCTTTATCTATAAACCCAATCATTATTTTTTGTATTCTTAAACCCAATTTTCTTTTTGTTTTTGTCTTTAAACCCAATTTCTAAAATACAGTATATACAGCACTTGTATTTATACACCAACATGATAAAATCCCCAAAATACCCCTTTCAATACCCTACTTAAACCAGCCCCCCTTCTCTCTCCTCATTTTCCTTCTTCCTCAAGTCTTTGTCTTCCTCCTCCGATCCCACCTCTGGAAGGCGCGGCAGGCGGCGAGGATCTTGCGGTGGAGGCGCGGCTTGAGGAGGCAGCGATGGAGGCGGAGGTGGTGGGCAAGGGAGACGCGGGCTGGCCGGTGCGTTGGGCTTGGCGGGTTGTTTTGGCGTGGCTGAGGAAGGTGAACAGAGGAGATGGAGTGGGCGGTGAGTCGGGTTCGGGGAAGAAGGCAAGGGTGAGCGGCGTTGCGGGTGGCGGAGGAGGCCGGAGGTAGCGTTGAGGGAGGTGGTGAACGGAGGTGGTGCTCGGTGTGGTGGGGGAGAGGTGTTAGGGCGCGGAGCATGGATCTGGGGAAGCTTGGCGTCGAGGCTTGGACGGACCTGGGTGGCGGGTGATGGAGGGCAGCGGTTTGGGCGTCAACGAGGTGATTGCGGCGGTGGTCGAGGGCGTCAACGGGACAGGGAGGAGCTTGGGGCGGTTCTGGAGCTTGTCTTGAAGATTGTGAAATTTTGGAGTTTTCCTTGAAGATTTGTGTAATTTTGGAGTTTGATTTGTAACATATTGTTTTAGATTGTAAGTTTTTGAAAGTAGATAATGAAAGTGTTGATAGTGCAATTTCGTTATTGTAGAATTTTGTGCAATTTTGGAGTTTGTAAGACTGGAATTTTGTGCAATTTTGGCAATTTTGTGAGTGCTATTTTGTGAAATTTTATGAGTGTTATACACTTACAGGATAACCCGCTACACTTACAGAATAACCCGCTACACTTACAGGATAACCTGTCGCACTTACGATGTAACCCGCTACACTTACAGGATAACCCGCTACACTTACAGTGTAACCCGCTACACTTTCAAGATAACCCGCTACACTTACACGATAACCCGCTACACTTACACGATAACCCGCTACACTTACACGATAACCCGCTACACTTACACGATAACCCGCTACACTTACACGATAACCCGCTACACTTACACGATAACCCGCTACACTTACAGTGTAACCCGCTACACTTACAGGATAACCTGCTGCACTTACAGTGTAACCCGCTACACTTACAGGATAACCTGCTGCACTTACAGTGTAACCCGCTACACTTACAGGATAACCTGCTGCACTTACAGTGTAACCCGCTACACTTACAGGATAACCTGCTGCACTTACAGTGTAACCCGCTACACTTACAGGATAACCCGCTACACTTATAGTGTAACCCGCTACACTTACAGGATAACCCGCTACACTTACACGATAATCCGCTACACTTACAGTGTAACCCGCTACACTTACGGGATAACCCGCTACACTTACGGGATAACCCGCTACACTTACACGATAACCCGCTACACTTACAGTGTAACCCGCTACACTTACAGGATAACCTGCTGCACTTACAGTGTAACCCGCTACACTTACAGGATAACCCGCTACACTTACAGTGTAACCCGCTACACTTTCAAGATAACCCGCTACACTTTCAAGATAACCCGCTACACTTACGGGATAACCCGCTACACTTACACGATAACCCGCTACACTTACACGATAACCCGCTACACTTACAGTGTAACCCGCTACACTTACGGGATAACCCGCTACACTTACACGATAACCCGCTATACTTACAGGATAACCCGCTATACTTACACGATAACCCGCTACACTTACAGTGTAACCCGCTACACTTACAGTGTAACCCGCTACACTTACAGTATAACCCGCTACACTTTCAATCACAAACATAGATATGTTACAAAACATCCTCTACACTTAACACGGTACATTTTCAATCACAAACACCATCACAAGCTGAAATATGCTACAAACTCACCACTAAATTCAGTCACAAGTTGAGAGATCAAACAAATTTTAACAATGACCAATTTTAACATCCTCGCCTATATGTTACAAAACATCCTCGCATATTACAAAACATCCTCGCATATATGTTACACTTGCAACACAAATTGAGATATGTTACAAAACATCCTCACATATATGGTACAAAACATCCTCACACGTATTTCAGATACATTCACAGTCACAAACATAGCCAAAAGCTGAGGAATGTTAAAAAACATAGATTCACCATAAAGACTGCCAAAAGGGGTTATTCATCCTCATAGTTTTCAACCCGTTCAACAGCCCACCAATCTTCGAAGGATCAGTAAGCTTCAAAGGGCCAAACTCCATCAAGTGAAGCAAGAAACAATTGGTGACCCTTTTTAACCCTGAAAAAAATTAGAATGTTAAACAACCAGCCATCAATAGAAATTTTTTTGTCAGAGTTTAGAAAACCACAAACTACAATCCAAATATCCAAAATGTAATTTATATTGTTTAGTTGAATGCAACATCCTATACAAGAAATATTTACCATGATCCACTAAGAACCTACTGCAGCTCTCGAGAATCAAATCGAGCTCCTTGATCAGCTCCTCCTGTAATTTATATGGTTGAAAATGTACTTAATTAGTCATCATGCGCTGATCAACAAAACATAATAATTTTAAGTTCTGATCAACAAAACATAATAATTTTAAGTTCTGATCAACAAAACATAATAATTTTAAGTTCTGATCAACAAAACATAATAATTTTAAGTTCTGATCAACAAAACATAATAATTTTAAGTTCTGATCAACAAAACATAATAATTTTAAGTTCAATGTTTTAACATTTAGTAGGATTCTGTTTGGATAAACTTATCTATATTTATTATCAAAACAGAATTGAACACAAAACATGTTTCCCTCAAGTTAGTGATGCCCACCTTGCTCTTTACTGAACAATGAATGGCTTACATTTATTGGTTGTCATAGTTTCTGGTATAATTGTGTGATATTTGAGAGTTCAGCCTCCTCAAGTGGCTATCGAAGATGATAATTAATCACAGAAAGTTAAAGTTTTCAGTTAACTTCACTAACTCATGGATATAAGAAACATATGATCGACCAACCTAAATATTAAGAAACTACAAGATATTGGTTTGAAATTTTGCCCACACTAAAATCAACGACTCCTCACTTGTTGATAATCTATATCTGAGTGAACACTACATTAGCATGAAAAATGTGCTCTCCTCATTTTTATTCACCAAGGCTCGAAGCATATGTATTAGGTGCCGACATCCTGCTGTGCTCATCGATTTTTTTCTCTTTTTATAGCAGTAACACCAGAATATATATAGTTTTGGGGTCAAATATCAAGAATCCTTCCCCCCCCCACCCCAAACGAAAAATTAATTAAGCATGCGGCGGGTCTTTATCTAGACAGCAAAAAATTAGCAAACCACCTTTTCAAAAGGCAACTTATCCCAAATATCCACCTCCGTGATAAGAACCTGTGCCCAAAAGCGCTTTTTATTTCGAAACATAGCAGCTAATAATTTCACAAATGGAGGAAATTGATGTGACATGACAAAATTAGCAAGCACCACCAACTGAACGTCAAAATTGAACAACACCCGTAAAAAGGAAAATAAATAAATAATAATAATAATAACCTGAACAATGCTCCAAGCGACCAAGAGCTCCAGACCATCAAATGGCGCGCGTCAGAGCCATTCACCAAGCCCGGCCCCCCTCAATAGCTCCCTCTCAAATCTGTTCACCGCGCACGACCGATTAATTAAATAATTGTTCAGAGCAATAAAATAATTGGTGGGGAGGAAAGGTTTTCAAAGCAGAATCGATGGCTTGAAGAAGACCCAGGAGGGGGGAAAATTACCAGAAGAGCAAGAGGACATGATCATCAGAATTTTGAAGAGGGACGCATTTATGGAGATGACGGAAATGGGAAGGCACGAGCTGGAGAGAGAGGGACAGGGACATCGACGCCGGAGACGGGCGACGGCTAGAACGGGGCGTCGGCGGCTGGAGACGGGCGACGACGAAAAGGGGATCTCGTTTTTTCAATTTAGGGCTGTGAGATGAAATGAGGAAGATGAGAGAGATACTGGGTTTTATTGGGCCAATCAAAGGGGTATTTTGGGTTTTTACATTCATTCTGTATAAATACAAGTAATTGGGTTTAAAGACAAATACCAAAAGTGAATTGGGCTTAAAAATACAAATAATAGAACTTGGGTTTAAAGATAAATGGGAGTAAACAAATGGACCTAAAGATAAAAACCCCTAATTTCTATTCACTCGCATAGTGTCTTGGTCTCTTTGTGGTCCTCCTATTTTATTTTTATTTTTTATTTTTTTTATTTCATTCTCGTTGGCAAGTTAATGTCATTACCCCAATCATGCCAAATTTTAAAATAGTATATGTCTTCTTAAAATTGCAGGCATGAAGCGTGAGGCATCAAAGGCCTACGCTTCACTAGTTGTTGAAATGTCGCTTGTGGATCCTTTAGATTCTATACAAGAATAGGAAGACAAAAAGATACTTAGAGTATATGTTGCTTTTTTCCCCCACCTTTACTAATAATAATAATAATAAGGGAAAATTTGCAAAATAGTCCGTTTTTGCTAATTATTTAGCAAAATAGTCCGTTTTGCTAAATAATTAGCAAAATAGACATCTTTTTGGCCAACAGGTGGCCAAAAAGAGGTCTATTTTGCAAAACAGCTCAGAAAATATACGAGACTACTAGTCCTGTATGTTTTAATCACGGATTAGTGAACTCAGAAAATTTCACAAAACATTGAGATGAACTCAGAAAACATACGGGACTACTAGTCCCGTATGTTTTCTGAGTCACTAATCCGTGATTAAGTTGGCTCTAAACATACGGGACTAGTAGTCTCGTATGTTTTCTGAGTCTTGTTTTTCAAAATCGACCTCTTTTTTAAATAGAGGTCTATTTTGCTAATTATTTAGCAAAACGGTCTATTTTGCTAAATAATTAGCAAAAATAAACTATTTTGCAAATTTTCCCTAATAATAATGAGGACATTTCACCACCTTTTTATTAGAGAGGAATGTTCCTAGATTTTTAGGATAAAACTTCTCCACGTGAAGAGCCCTTGAGTAAATTTTAGGAGGTGAAAAAAAAAAAACAAAACAAAAAGAGAAGATCCTAATCCACAGCCTTTTAGGGTCAAAAGAAAATATTCGTCAATTTTTGTCCACATCTCACGTGTTGGTATGCGTCTCCGTCTCTCTAAGTTCTCTGCACTTAAAAACTCTCTTTCGCATATTAATCACTCTTTTATCCAAAGTTTATGGGTGGGTAGCTTAACGTTATTTAAGTTTTTTGATGACGTCACCGTCCTCTTCTAAAATTATTGAACCGAGAGAAAAAAAAAACAAACAAGTTTCTTTCCGTTGTCCTTGTCTTCAAACATTTATGAATGGAGAGAAACTTTGCAAACTTTGTGGGGATCCATAAAACTAGCGCCACGTCCTCTTGCCTGTGGTCCCATAATCAATAATTAATTATTATCACATGAAAGCAGATGAAAGCAACTGAAATCACAACCCAAGAGCCGTGTAAAGCTGGGGTTTTCCAAAAAAAAAGAGAGAAAGAAAAGGAAAGCCAATTTCCTCAAGCCGTAACCAACCCAAGCGTATCAACACAGTGACAACAATCATCAGAAGACTTGGAAATAATACCCGCACCAACTCAATATATATAGTACCAAAAAAATATGGAAACGTACATAAAAAAATGCATAAATATTGAGAATCACAAATGGGCAACAACTTCAAAAACCCATCAATACAATTGAGATTACATCATATACAAACAAATACGATCGGTTAATATTTTACATTGGTATCCCTGTAGCCAACCCAAGCATCAACCCAGACGCTAGAAAACTTCCAATTACCTACCAAAAAAAAAACAAAAACACTAAAAAAAGAAGAAAAAGACCAAAGTGAAAATGTAGAGGAATGATGACGACAAGGCAAATATGAACAAGAGCACACATATGGGACTAAACAGTAGCTCTTATCCGCAACTCTTTACACTCTTTAAACTCCAAAACATTCAGCCAAAAATCGACTGTACAAATGCTTTCCTAAGCGCCTCCGTGCTCATTGACAGACAATAGGATGCAAGAAAAACCATGTATCTGCATGTCTCCGTATCTGATTTTATCTCTGCCCATGCTCTTTCTGTACAGTCACCAAAGTCTTTATGAAAGATTTGTGCGTTTGTTGAATTCTTCATGTATGCTAATCCTATAATATCCACAACGCTTCTGCATACCATTTGGAAGCAGAACACTCAAGACTGGCTGGCGACTCAAGTTTTGATCGAGTCCTGATAAGGATTAGTCGGTTCTTCATATCAATAACAAGCACTGTAGTTTCCCTCGAACCAACTGAAACCTTGTCAAGGTTCAGTAATGCCACTGTACACAAAGAAAACTTCCACAGGACTTGAATGCCTCGACAGATCAGATCTCCATATTTCTAAAGGAAATGATGTAGACCAGGAGGGAAATCAACCAGGAAAGAACAAGACAACCTCATAAAATCCCATTCAGTACCCGTTGGTAGTAATCATACTGTCTTGTTCGCCATGCATCTAAGCTACTGCTGATCAAGGATAGCACCAAAGAGACGCATTGCTGTTCGAAATAACCAGACATAGGGTTAGAACCTAGAACCTTTGCTCTCATAAAAAAGATGGAACCAAAGAGATGATTGAGAAAGGCATGGAAACATACCTCTTCTGTAAGGCTCAAATGAAATCGCTTTCTCAAGTTCTGTATAGTACGAGGACCACCTTTGAAACAAGGAAAACCTGAGTCCTGAAATTAATATGAAGTTGATAAATCAGAATATCTGTCTATCTTTCTGCAAAAGAGAATTCTGAATAGTTAGGACGAGATTCACAATTATGCTGTGAGTTTTAAGTAACTGTTTCCAGATTCGACGATAACAATTCTCGCATATCCTTATGAACTTGTTTGAACTTTGAACACAAGAATAAGAAGAAAGTATTCACATTGCATCACTCATTAAGGCTTCTTCCCCCTCTCTTATTCTTCCTTGTGAACTCAAAAAGGATAGGTCAGGTCTCTTCCTAAATCCTCAAGGCCGAAAACTAATGGATCAATAACCTATACCACTTCTCCAATAAAAGCATGCAAGATGATATATTCTGTAGATGTTAAATTTTGTACAAATATTCAGCTTTGTAAAAAAGTTAATTCTTATCATTAGAATTTGTTAATTAAAAACTTTCTCCCAAAGCACCAATTAGCCTTCACTAGGATATGAACCAGAAATAACCTCAGTCCAGTTGAGAATGATTGCAATAATTTCTGTTAATTTTAAATCACAAGAAAGTCAACCATAAATATTGAAGCAACAGGATTGTTAACCTAATAAAGCTCAATGCATCAGATACGACTGAAATTAAATAATAATAACAATAATAACAATAATAAAAGAGGATGCAGTCAGTATCCAGTCTCTTTAAAAAAATAAAGTAATGATGGATCATTGCTGAATATGTGGTGGAAAGAAAGTATTGCATCTATCTTATAGACTTAGCATGTGGCCTAACCCTACACACACAAAAAGACATGCCTGTGCACATACGTAACATAACAGATAACATTGCGCTCAACAGGACATATGACAAGCAGGTATTGCTGTGTTGAGAAGTTTTGAGCCACGGGAAGGTACAGCCACAATTTGACAGTAGAGTCCCAATTAGAATTAAAGAAAAGAAACACGCTCTTAAAGCTCATAACACAAGGAAAAGGTAATATGTTGAAGAGTTCACAGAACCTGCAACATCTCAACGAGAAGTATTATGTGCTCTGCATGCTTCCGGCAAGTAAGAAAACCTTGTATACATAACACCTGAAAAAACCAATAGATAAATAATTTTGAATTTTCAGTGTATTCAGAAGAATCAAAATAGATTAAACAATACCTTGAAATAGTCAAAGAACTCGCTCGGATTTCCCTCAGCATCTGAGTCCATTACCTAGCACAATGCAGCAAACAGTACTAGCAAATATCAAGAATCATTTCAGATGAAATTGTAAATAGCCTGACAGAAAACTATATGTCCAACCTCAAGAAGCTCCCGTGTCAACTTGAATGGTGCACTCTCAAAATTTACACCACCAGGAGAGTTAGAAAGCATGAAACCAAAATCAATATGAATAATATGCCCTTCTTCATCCACTAATAGATTACCATTATGGCGATCCTTCACCTGAACAATAAAAATTCATCAAGATACATTCATCAACTAAGTAAATACAATGGAAATATGTGTGAATTATCTTTCTGATAGAAGATGCAAAAAGTATGAGCGTCAAAAGGGGATGAGTTTTGTAAATACACAATGGAAATTATTGCTTTTTCATTGGATGGCAGCAAATACAATATGGATCCAACAACCATCATAATCTTATGCTGTTATGGATCCCAATTATGGTTTTCCAGAGTCATCAGTAATTATGGTCAATGAAAGCAGAATAACATTGAAAAGTCTAAATATTTAAACAAGTAAAGGAATAAACCAACAAATAGTGTCGGTGTCATGCATATAAATGGGAAGCGTTGAGAGTTATGCAGACCAATATCATAACATTGAACCATCATTATGCCCCCACAACAGAAACCACCAACAATACAAATAACACAAACAAACGAGAGAGCCATTATTAGAGTCAAACAGGCAGACGCACGGAACATATATGCAGACTCATAGGAACTGCATTCTTTATGAAACCAAAGTGGCATTTACTTTAAGCAAAACTGAGAGTTGATGCAAAAAAAAAGTAGAGGATTGGTATAATAGTAATGTTTATGAGAGACTTAACCAAATACAAAATGGAGTCAACAAAAAAGTAGATCGTGTTAAAACAATATATAATTGACAGACAACAATTACAATTTACAAAGTAAAAATCATTAAAAGGGTCTGCAATGAAGTGAAAAAATATCAATAATTCATAATGAACAATGGTAAGAGGCATCTTCTTTTACTTTGTTTATGAAAAAGAAACAGAATCAATAAAGAAGAACAGGCAACAGAATAGAAGCTACAACGCAGAAAGAATCGACTAAGAAAAGAACAGGGGATATTGAATTCGAGTAAGATATACTATGAAGCATAATGCAAAAGCAGGAAAAGCTAAAACAAGTGAGCCAAGTAAGCTCCATTCGACAAACTTCAATTCTTGTATCTTCATAACAAAGAACTTAGAACAACAGCTCCAATCCAAAACCAAATTCATCCAAAATTAAATAAAGAAAAATAGACAATGTTTATCTTTTGATTTTACTAAACCTGAAACAATTCTATAAGATGCCACCTGATAACCACGTAAAATATGCATTATCTTAGTGTGTTTCATGCATGATTTACGAGTGTTTAATACATATTTCGTGTTTAGATCAAGGATACTGCTGTGGTTTGTGTTCTTATATGTAGGTATTGGCTCAAGATTGAAAGATTTAATGATCGTTGGAAGTTGAACAAGAGTTTGAAGCAACAACAAGATTTCGAATGCATGGTTCGTGAAGAAAATGGATGCACGAGTATGAAGAACTGAAATTTCGACCATGATGCAATTTGAATTCAGAAAAACTCAAAAGATAAAAGTTGTAGATCTCTTCAACAGGTTTCCAATGCAACTTGAATCACCTCATTCCGAGGTCGGACGTAAAAGTTATAGCTAAAATACCGAAAACTGAACAAACAAGCATAAAATCAGCAAAAACAGATTCCACCACACGCTGGTGTGGTGCGCGCCACACCGATGGCGCGGACCTTATCTTTTTTCAGATTTTTTAGGGACATATAAATAGATATTTTGGCTTAGGGTTTGGATATCTTTTGTTATGTTTTCTTAGCCGTCAATTAACAATTTTTTTGGAGTTCAAGTATTGAAGAAAGACATTAATTTCTTGTACAAAATTGGATTGCAAGTTTTGATTTTGGAGATTTCAATTGAAAGACGGGTTAATTCTTTCCTCTCTTTGATTTATTTCTTCTTATGATTGATTTGCATAATTATTTAATGTATTCTCTTATCTCAATCATGTGTGAGTAGATTTCTTATCTATGATTGTGAAAGAACCCAACTTTTTGGTGATTGATGATGAATTGATATAGGTTCTTGGTGAAAGTTTAAATCTTTAAATTTGATTTCTAGTGTTTTATTGTTGATTCGCTTGATCACCGTATTAGCAATCATAAATAATTAATTGAAGGACTGAAAGGTGAAGATTAATATTGGATCTCTAGAAATTAAGCAGGGAGCTCGAACCACGAAAGTAGACTAGATTCCTTGGGGATTTGAATTGGATTAGCATGAAGCTTAATGAATTTAATTTAATATTGATTCCACGAAAATAGGTTAATTGAGATTAATTAGGCACGATCTTTAGACCTTGAAAGAGGCTTTAGATTAATTTAGGCTAATTCACCCTTTTTAGTTTAAACCAACACCGAGAACTGAAATAATTCATTATTGAGCATCGAAGTTGTGGTGATAACCCAATCCAGGCTCTTCATTATATTGAATTCCACCTGATTAGCTATTTATTTTATTTCTTTTGATTTTAATCTCTTCTAATTTACTCATTAGTTTAGCTAGTCGAATAACGTGAGATTTGGTAATTAACCCTAGTCCATGTGGAATCGACCTTGATAGCTACAACGAGTCTGTGCGCTTGCAAATTTTGCTTATCAAGTTTTTGGCGTCGTTCCCGGGGACTACGGTGTTAATATTAAGTGCTTACGTTATTAAGCTAGACTAGATTTTTTTTTTAATCCTCTTTGCTTCTCACTTTCTTTTATGCAAGGGCATCAAACAGAATTACACGACGAAAACAATCTTGAACTATCGGTGACTCTTGCAAACATAAGAAGGTCTATAAGGAAGCAAAGGAACACAGAACAAGCTACGATGGGTGATCAGAATCAGCTTCTTAAGGATTTCGCTGCTCTAAATGCTCAAGGCACGCACTCGAGTATTACAAGGCCCACTGTTGAAGCAAATAATTTTGAGCTGAAACCCTCATTGCTCTCAATGGTTCAGCAAAATCAGTTTAGAGGAGGTGCTACTGAAGACCCGAATCTCCACCTGTTGATTTTCTTGGAGTATTGCGACACTTTGAAGCTTAATGGAGTGACCAATGATGCTATTCGACTCAGACTTTTTCCATTCTCTTTAAAGGATAAGACTAGAGCTTGGTTGCACTCATTGTCCGCTGGGTCCATCACCACTTGGGATCAGTTGTCCAGGGCGTTTCTTACAAAGTATTTTCCTCCAAGTAAAACAGAACAGATGAGGAACCAGATCATAAGCTTTGTACAGAAGGAAGGAGAATCATTCTATGATGCTTGGGAACGCTACAAGAAATTATTGAGGATGTGTCCTCACCATGGACTGGAGAAGTGGTTAATTGTTCACACCTTCTATAACGGGCTCACTTACAACACTCGGATGACTGTTGATGTTGTTACAGGAGGAGCTTTGATGAACAAAACAATAGACGAGGCATACACTCTCATTGAAGACATGGCTCAGAATCACTATCAATGGGCGAACGAGCGTGCTCAGACATCAAAAGGTGGTAAGTATGACATAGATGCTTTAGATCATATATCTTCTAAAGTTGATGCTTTATTTAAAAAGGTTGAAAGCTTGAATATTAATTCTGTGGCGTCTACTTCAATTGCATGTGAGATATGCGGTTATGTGGGTCATTCTGCACTTGAATGTCAATTAGGAAACCCCTCATCCCTTAATACTTCTGGTAATAAACATGTCAACTATGTTAATAACTTTAATCAGAAGGGAGATCCTTTCTCCAACACTTATAATCTGGGGTGGAGGAATCGTCCTAATTTTTCTTATAGGAACCCACCGGGAAATCCCATGCCTGCATCTAATTTTGGTCCACCTGATTTTCGTGCTCCTCAATCTAATCTCCCTCCCCAAAGGTCTAATTTGGAAAATATGATGGAAAAGTTTGTGACGGCTCAGTCAAAATTGAATGAAGAGTTTAGGCAACAACAAACAACGAATGAGGTAATAAAATAATTGGCCTCTAAGATGGATTCCCTAGCTACACATAACAAGATGTTAGAGACACAAATCACTCAATTGGCGTAAAATGCTAGCTCTTCTTCTAGGCCTTCAGGCATGCTACCTGGACAACCTGAGACGAATCCCAGAGGTCATGTGAATGCTATAACCCTTAGGAGTGGAAAACAATATGAGGGACCTAAGATGAAGGAAAATGATGGGGTGGATGGTCATCATGAAGAGAAAAGTAAAATTATAATATATGTGGATAATGAGACCCAAACACAAGAAAAAGAAAAAGTTAAGAAATATGTCTCTCCCGCTCCTTACAAGCCTCCTCTACCCTTTCCACAAAGGTTAGCTAAGGCTAAGTTAGAAAAGCAGTTTGAAAAATTTTAGAGATTTTGAAAAAATTACACATCAATATCCCGTTCACTGAAGCTATTTCTCAAATGTCTTCCTATGCTAAGTTCTTGAAAGAGATCCTATCTAACAAAAAGAAGTTGGAAGAATACGAGACTGTGGCCCTTACTGAGAAGTGTAGTGCTATCATTCAGAATAAGCTGCCTCCTAAGCTTAAGGATCCAGGTTCATTTTCTATTCCTTGTGTTATTGGTAACGTCTCTATTAACCGTGTTTTGTGTGATTTAGGTGCAAGCGTACGTTTGATGCCGATATCTATTTGTAAGAAGCTTGGCATAGGTGATTTAAAGCTAACCACGATATCACTCCAATTGACAAATCGATCGGTAAAATATCCGATAAGTATACTTGAAGATGTACCTATCCAGGTCAGTAAGTTCTTTATCCCGGTTGATTTTGTTATTTTGAAAATAGAAAAAGATTCTAACATTCCAATTATATTAGGAAGACCCTTCATTGCTACTGCAGGTGCTATAATCGATGTTAAAAATGGATGGCTCTCCCTAAATATTGGAGGGGAAACTGTAAAATTTGATTTAAGCAATGCTATAAAACTCCTCCTAACTGATAAAGTTTGTTACAGGATCGACGTGATTGACAAGTGTACACATGAGCAACTTGCAAACTATTACTCAGCTGATCCACTTGAGAAGTGTTTGGTAAGCAAAGGTTCAATAAATGATGAAGACCCTGAGGTAGTCGCGTATGCTCAATCTTTAGAATCAACATCAACTGCTCCATTTCG